GATGGCCTTCATCGGAATTAAGCATTTCAATGTTTTTGTAAAAAATTGGAAAAAATTTACTTTCAAAAATGTTTAAACCACATATTACCTCGTTCCCATGACGCGATATTGATGGTTCGCAAACCCAATCAAGTTTATCCGTTGGTTTATCCAGTTCTACACATTCATGCCAAATTTCATCAAAATCGGACCAAAAGTACTCGAGTTATCGTGTTCACGTACACATAATGTACTGTATAAACAAATTTGAACGAATTTTGTTTTTGCCTCTGGGAAATCGAAATGAAAAAGTAACTCGGTTCCGGGTGTAGGTCTTTCAGTGAAGCCTACTGCAATAGCTTCTTCACTACAGGAAAAGTCGCTAAAATGTGAGATCAGAACTTTTTAGGTATGAACTACATATATTAAAATACAGATCGTTTACCCTTTTCTTTTTCTCATATTCCCCATCACTAAACGACCAAACTTGGACCAAAGTACGTACAAAGTATCCATGGATCAACATAATCAGACAAACTCCAATTCCATCTATTAGGTCATTACTGGTCAAACGATACCATGACGTCATCCGCTATAATGGTTTTGGAACGACCGGACTTTATGGCTACATTAGCCGAGCTATGAACTCTTGTGGGTGGTTCATTGTTCATAGTTTATTGTTATGAACCGAGCAATGAAGTATTTGAACGATATAACGTTTCCAGATACAGATCCTTCTATCCTAGAGTACAATACTTTTGGAACTATTTATTCAATCATAAACTGCAACATTTATAATTTGTATGTGTTCTTGAATACAAATACGCCGAATTTATATAGGAACCTTATAACCTTGTTCTTATATGTATTGTCCTGGTAGATTTATCAAAAATCAAATATCTCATAATTTAAACTCCCTACCCCACCAATAATATGATTATCTTTTTTGTAAATAGTAATAAACACAATTTTGATTACTATAAACAGATTATAGTTTCAGTTGTATAAGTCCTATAACAAGCACATAATTCAGTAGATTTCTCAATAATTTTACATGCAGTTCGGTTTTTTGTTTCTGATGGTTATTGTTTTATTAGCGAATTTCCCTATAGTGAAGTAACTATTACCTTAGGTGGCTAAAGCAACGATGTACTAAAGGTGCGGTAAGACCTAGACCCGGGACCGATTTACTTTTCCATTTTGATTTCCCCTGAGGCCAAAAACACTATTCGTTAAAATTTTTACACATGTAAAAAAAAATGCATTACCTAAATTTTTTTTTGGCTATTGTTTTTACATTCTCATGCGTAATTGTAACGAAAAATGTCCTCAGAATTTAACAAAAAAAGGATCGCTTGAACAAATTAAAATTATTGAATTACAGCAAAAAATATCACTCAATGCTGTTGAGAACGTACAAATTTGGGGTTGGTTATTTTAAATAAAAAATACTGAGCCTTTTGGTACCTATATAACTGGTAAACACACAACAACATGTAAAATTACTAAACAAGTAGTATTTTTTAGCTGTATTGTCGCTGAGGACGTTAACATTGCCTTCGGTTGGAGCTAGAACCGTGTCTAATAACTGATATAAATCAACATCACTGATAAGAGCAGTCGTAAATATTGTCTATTGCAGCGAGTACAACTTTTCTGCTTCTTGCTCTTCGACGCCACACCGCTGCAAGGGAGTGTATGATCAAGTTAGGGACATACACACTACATACACTTGGAGCCTAGACGTTCTAACTCATAAAATAGTTAAAAAAACTACGAAGAAAATTTCTAAACTCACGGCACTCAATGCACTACTGAACCTAACTTTGCTTGAAAAAATAAACGATTTTTAATTTGATTTCATTTGCACTAGATATTTTAAGTTACAATCACTTTGGTAGTTGAACAAATATTTTGAGATGGTAAATAACTCTTCAGTGGCTGTTTGAAATTGGCGAAACTAACATTGCTCTTGTGGTGGGCAAATCCAAGATGTCCGTTAGCTTCCATGGACTTCATTGGAAAACAATTAAAAACTACATCGACAATTTCTAATGTCAGTGTCCTGGATATTTAAATTATTAACCATTTGTTGTTTGAACGAATATTTCTAGATGACAAATAACTCTTCAGCAGCTGTTTGAAATTATCAAAGATTGCCGTTAGCTTCCAAGGACTATTAAGGGATGAATTGAAACCATATTACAGTGTTAAGAAGGAAAGCTCAGGGGTTTAATGTATTATCTGAAAGATAATGTTAAGTAAAAAGGGTAAAAAATACGTTGAGTCTTATGTGTAGGGTTCTTATCTTTGAGTGGGGGATTCCTCTCGCTGTATCATTGAGAATGGACATATTTTCATAACATTCCAAAAAATATCAGTTTCACTATTAGGCCTACGATGGTAAATTGGCAGTTGTTCTCGAAAGTCTGCTTTCATAAAAAAATCAGTGCTATAAACAATTTTGTGTTTTATCTAATAAAACTGTGAGCATAATGAAAAACCTTTTATTGCAGCATTTTGCTGATGCACTTAGACAAAAATAACGTTTGGATAAATATAGTATGTTTAAAAGAACTTAGCCTTCCTCAAAGTACGCTTTACCGTCCTTTCATCGCATTCATCCTGCGTTAGGTAGGCTATAGGCCACCACTGCTCTACAAGATGTATACATACGAAGAAGAGCGCTAAATTCACATAAATTGACTATTATAGCTCCTTTATGAGTAGGTAAAACTGAAATAATCTATTAAATATTTTCGCACAGCATTTCGTTTGGTGCGACGCATCCTTTTGAAACAGTGTTATAATCGTGTGTTGTTTGAAATATATTAACTTCAATGCATACTGTTGTATGTAGCTTTGTAAGGTAACGTCGTTGGCTCCATAGAGGTATATTTTTTAAGTTATCCACTCAATGTTATTTAAATGGGTTTCATTACATCACCGAGTGAGTTTTTTTCAACTTTACATCACTCGAGAAGGAAGTTGTATATATCACGCTTGGGATAGGGAAGTTTAACATGGCGGGTTAGGTAAAAATGTTTTATGCCATTCGTAAGTCGTATTCGAAATAAACACCGAGACGTGCTTTTACTATACAACAACCGCCGTGAAATTCCATAGCCAACCACGCAAAACATTCATTTATATTCTTTCGTGAAAACTACATTTTTGAATAGAAATAACTAAGTGAATTCCTGAAGTTTTTTACTTTATTTTTTCTTATCGTGAATTAAACTCTTCAACGTTATCGAATCAGGAATCCGACAAACAATTTTGAACAATATATGAAATATTTAAAACAGAATAACCTCCCAAAACTCTTTCCATGGAAAAAATATAATGTATAAATAAACATGTTGTCTTCTTCATACATTTTAAATACCAGTCTATGAAATGGACCGCGTGCCATCAAAACATTAATTTAATTTGTTTTACAAGGTCATGTTTGTTGTGAAACTATTCACTTCAATTCTTTATAGCGTGATTCGTAGTTAAAAAAAATATTGTTTGTCATTAACGTTTAGTCATCTACTAAACTATAAAAGTTATTACTATGCTTTGAATTTGTTTTACGTTTTAATTTGTGTTTCCAATCCAAAGTTGATCTTCAGTTCGGATACATGTTCTGTCCGCTATCATCGCTAAAGACAGCTAAATATACCACAAAACAGAACGGATTAAAAGTCTTATTTTTAATCTGCGATAATACATAGGTATGTAAGTTTGGATGTTATGTAACAGTTTTACTTTTCTGGTTATTTGATCAAAAAGAGTTGAAATAAAGTCAGTGTACAGTAACTTCAATACTAATTTTACGCATTCAAATCAAATTGCATGTAAGAAGCCTTAGTGAATCCGGATCGAATCATTCATAATGTTATACCTTTGGCTATTAAAAAGGATTTTCTCTGTAACATTCCTTTTCCAACCCTCATACTTAAGAGATTTTCATGGTTGAGGTGTAATATAGCGTATGATCTTTCGTGGATGCGAATGGTGTCTAAGGGTAACTTCTATTAGGGCTTCGCCCCCTTGTGTTTAATTTATTTCTAGAGTTTGATCACAAAGACCACGGTTTCAACTTGAAATGTAAATAAACAGCTGATTCTTAATTTTAATGTCAGATTGTAAACAAAAGACGAAAAAGTTTATGACCATAGATTTTTAATGCTACTTTATTATAATTGTAACCGAAATAAGGATTGTAAATTACACTTAGTGTAGATAAGATAACCCAGTTTATTGTAAATTTGTTAGTGGTTTAATTGAACTAATTAAACAAATCAGGGTACTACATTGTATATGTTTTGACTCGGAAACAAGTTCTGGACCATAATAAAATACAAAAATTGCACACAGCTTGATAATTTTACAAGAGCAAGTCAAATATATGATAAAGATTTTGTATGCTGGCATTATGGTGTTAAAACATACCTATTGTATTAGTTTTTTCTTACCACTCAATGAATTTTTTTTTAAACAGAAACCATAGTTTAACAATTAACATCTTAATATATAAAGTCAATACCATGTCAATATCTTATTATGTATAGTGCATACATCTAAATTGTAAACTTTCAAGTTCAGTAAAAACTAAAACATTACGGCCTGCTAAAATGTTAAGAAAATAATGTAATGTTTGTCCAACAAAGTTACAGTGTAGGTTTTAAACATTAGTTCAAGTATAGCTAGAATTCTCCTTTTTCAAAAAATGTCAAAAATGTTTCGGTAAAATCGAAAACATCTTGAAAGCAGTGTTTTTTAGGTTAGACCAAAATCAAACCCCACTAAATGTTTACGTTCAAATAAAAATCCTCATACTAGTGTTGCATTATCCTTCGCCACGGTTACGTTTCTAGGAATAATTAATATAAAAGTAACCTACTGCTAATGCGGTGGTGGTGGTGGGGGGAACTCCCCTCCCCTCCCTCACTTCACTTCACTACTCCATGGTTGTCAAGCACTCACTGGCACTGGCACTGCTGCGCTCACTGTGCTCTATGCCGACTGACATCTCTCACCTTATCTTGCGGTTGATAAGATTACTTATAGTGTCTTTACGTGGAGTGATAACGGGTTTTATCTAATAATTTCATATCACCTCCCTCAATTAAACCATTATCAAAATAAACAATGCGTTTTCGCCGGTCCGTGTTGTGACGCAGGTGTTTTTACTGCTGGATTCAAGGATTTCGGTAAGTTGTACTTGTTGAAGTAAGGTTAAATTTGGTAGTTTGCGGGTTTTGTAGGTAATTTAAAACTGTGTTGTTGTTGGGGAATGTGTTTATTTATGGTGATTTGTTATGTTAGTCTAATATGAAGTGTTGAACATATTTCCTACTCTATAGTTAAATTTTTGATGATAGGTAAACCTATTTTGTAAGATTAGATTTTCTCCATAGGTTTAGAATCAATGCTTATCAAGTGTGTCAAAGTTAGATTTGGTTTTTAGAACAGAAATCAAAGTTTAGACTAACTTATTTTAAAAGTTTGATAATTGGATCAGTAAACAAACTTTTTGATTGAACCTATATCCATTATGTGTTTACAAAAATAGCTGATATTAGTAGTTTTCATTGCTAATAATTAGATTTGAATCAGCAATACATGTTATTTTTTATTAATGATATAGGTACTAGGTAACTTACTAGCATTTTAAGATTTGTTGTTATTGTTTAAATTGTAAATACAGTAAGCCCATTATGAAACGACAGATTTGTAAATTAAATTTATCATTAGAATGCAATTTCGTCCGCTGTCGTTAATAAAATCAACCTTACAAATAACTGACTCTTAAATAATTTTATGCCGGTAATTTAGTTTATGGAATCTATGTTTCACCTCAAAGATTAACCATAATATAATAGGTATACAATTGTTGAATTTAGCAATTTTACCCCGCATAGACATGGTAATTATTTGGGGAAGGAGGGGAGTGGGTATTTATTTTCTTATAATTAGTATCATATTTTAGTTTATTAGTCATTTGGTTCACCTGCCAATATGTATGCATGCGCACATATAATATATAGACAAAACATATTAAAATCTACTTGAAACTTGTACTTAATTGATCTGCTATGATTTTCTTGTTTATTTATTTTTCTCAATCATCTTATTCAAATTAAATTGTGTTTTCGTATTATTAAAATATGGGTAAGTGGATGTACTGAATTTATAGAGGTAATTATTAGTTTTATGATGTGTGTTTCCTCTTCTATCTGCGAAAATGAGTACAATTGAGCGTACCTCCAGTAGAAACTCAAGGCAAATAAATAACACAAATTTTATTATTACCGCATTGTCTACAACACTTTATACTTAATACGTGTTACTACTCACATATTTTTGTTTGTATGAGAAACCACACGCTTTTAAATCTAGTTGAAGCCAAATATTTCTTCATCTATTTGTTAACATAAAATAAAACTTTTACTCTTTGCATTCTCGCTATAAACATACTCGTTTAGTAGCTACATTATGCAAAATAAACACCGGCAGTAATTTTTTCATGAACGAGTGGGTTTATAGAAAAAATGTCAGGAATAAAAACGTTTTTAAATTGCATGTTCTATCCGAAAACATTATAAAATATAGCGTGTTCCATAAGAAATTTCAAAGTTGGCCGCCATGTTGGAAAATGGCGGCTGGATTTCGAAAATCAAAATCATATTTTTAACTGCCGCAAAAATAAAGGAATGTCCCCCATGTGAAGTTTTTTCTAATTCTTACCGTTTCCGATATCTCTATGGTGGTCCCCTTGAGTTGATCACCCTAAAAAGATGGTAGCATTGACTATATATACCATATACCTGTATATACAGTCAATGATGGTAGTAATGATCTATTTCGATTAGTAACATGTATCATCATCACACCCAGTCATTCACAATTTTCTCCTTGAGCATTAATCGTATAACAACGCTTTATCGTACAAATTTTGTCTGTTTTATTTTAGATCAAATAAGGGTTTGGAAATAAATTGTAAAATTGTATGTTTAGGTGAAAAATAGAGAAACCTCATTTTGAACCTATTTAACACCCCATAAAACCCCTTTCCCATAGTTTGATGACGAGTTCGAATAAACATAAGTGCAACAGAATACTGTTGAATGTACAAATTTTTTTTTAATGAGACCACAACCCCTCAAGTTGTATTCCCTGACACATACATCGATAACCTTTAAATTAAAAAACTTCACCATTGTTTTATTTTATTTTATGAAGCCTTTCGCCAGCTGGGCTGGCGTCATCAGAAACAAAATATCAGTGAAGTTTTTATTATTAACTAGCTGTAACCCGCGGACTTTGCCCCGTTTAACTTCTTAATTTTCAAGATTATCTCGTTCGCATGGCTCAATCACGTCCTGGTTGAAGTTTGTTCGCTACGCTCACTCACCTTTAGGTTGGAGCTCGTTCGCTGCGCTCACTTGCCTTCAGGTTAGCTCGTTCGCTACGCTAACTCGCCTCCAGGTTGAAGTTCGTTCGCTACGCTCACTCACCTTTTGGTTGCAAATTAGCTGTTGTCATAAATGTAAAAGAAATAATAGTGCTGCACCCTGTTGGTAATTTTTGTAACTTTAATGCTATTGAAAATCACAGAACAGAACCAACTTGTTTAATTGAAACAGCTGTTAAGATTCAATAATTTAATTTCTCATAAGGTTAACATGGGAAACTCCAGAGCCACTGGGGCGGAGCCCGAAAGGATTTTTGAAATAAGAATATGCCTATATGTTAATCGGGAATGTGAGCTATCATCATGCCAAATTTCAGCCCAATCCGACCAGTATTTTTCGCGTTCACTTGTCACAAACACACATCCATACATCCATACATCCATACATCCATCCATACATCCATACATCCAAACTTTCTCATTTATAATATTAGTAGGATTTAATTGAAACCAATGTTTCCTATTCTTCATGAAGACATACATAGATATTTGCACGAATATCGTTTTTTGCCTCTGGGGACACCAAAATAAAAAGGTAATCATGTCTTGGATCTAGGTATTTCCTTGCCACCTGCGGTTATAGTTTCTTTCCTTGCTAAAAACAACCGAATCACCTCACATTTTTGTTCAAATATTTTTTTTTAATTCCAGGAATCTAGATAACTTTCAAACAATTCAAATACTTCATTTTGTTTCGAAACCGAAAAGAGCAATATTTGTTGAAAGAGCGTGACAGACAAAAGACGACTAGGAGATCCAGAGATAAAAACTTTTTTAAATATTAATTTTATAACAAAACACGAACCAGGTCCAGGTCATTGACTGTCGGACAGGTTTCATCGTCTATTTTTAATGTAAACATTTTTCAAAGAATTCAAAGACTTCATTTTGCATAAAACCGAAAAGAGAGCAACGATATTTGTTGAAAGAGCGTGTCGGACAAAAGACGACAGGAGATCCAGAGATAAAAACATTTTTTAATATAAATTTTATAACAAAACACGAACGAACGTGTCAGGGTCAATGATCTGTCGGACAGGTTTCGTCTATTTTTTATTTCGCCACATCACTATCGCGAACAATACAGTGCCACCGCCTTCTAGATTTTATTACTTTTTCCAACCGTCATTTCAACGCTATTTCTAGACATGAGTCACGTGGTACGGCCAAAGTCCGGCAGACGGACAGACGGTCTTCACTTGTTTGGTATCAAAGTGCAAAAGAGGTTGAAACTTAGCTTTTGTAAGTTAGGTGTAGCTGAATCTCACTTTAAAATACTACAATATTACTATTTTAACAGATTCCAGATAGTAAGAAAAGATTCAGATAAACGAAATTGACCGAAGACTGCTCTCAGAGTATACTTATGATTTCCCCAAGCAAAGCTTGGTCCCCAGCCTTTACTTATTTCGTTAACGAAAAAAAGATCTTATCGTATCGTTAGCTCGTATTTTGCAATCGATGAGTTGTTTAGTCAACGAGTTGTTTTCCCCGAGCAAAGCTTGGCCCCATGTTTTTTTTATATTTAGTTAACGAAAAGGGTTTTACCTTGTATTTGGAATAGAAGAGTTTTTGTCAACGCGTCAGTTACGTCGAGCAAAGCTCGGTCCCCATGTGCTTTTTACTATTTCGAAAAAAAATCTTTTCTTTTGATCGTATTTTGTAATTGAAGAGTTTTTTTATTCAACGAGCTATTTTCCCCTAGCAAAGCTCGGTCCCCATGCACTGTTTTATTAGGGGTTTATCTGAACATTAGCTCGTATTTGGAATTGTAAATATTTTGTCAACGCGTTTTACGAAACTTGTTCACTAGAAACAAGATCCGGGATTTTCAAACGTTACAAGATTGCTGGACACCGATGTCCTTAGGACAGGATTACCATGTAAAAATACGTAAAACTATATTGAAAGCTGTAATTGCGGCAAACCCGCTAAGCATTTCCTGCTGGGATAACCCTTCATAGATGACACCTCTGCCTATTCATATAACTAGACATTCCAACCCCATATTAAAGTTGTCGCCGGTTTTTTTTATGGACTTGGTTCAAGTGAGCCACTGACAGATAGCGCTGATTTTAATTAATTACTGTCGAATATGCAGACTGTTTAAGTGGAACCTCGATAACAAGTCACCCTTGATTAGAAGTGCTACTTTTAAATTTCCTTGAATTTGTTTTACCCCTACATGTTGTTAAACATTGATAATAGCTCAAACCTTGATAACAAGTCTTTATTTAATCCCCACGAGAGTCTTGTTATCAAGGTCCTACCGAACTGATAGGTAAGCTATAGTATCTTTTAAAGGCGGTGACGTAGATAATAGTATTTTAGACATAGGCACAATCTGTGACTGCCTTATGTTTTTATAATATTGTACAAAATTAGAGACAGCTAATCCATATATAGTATATGGGATGTCTAAAACTCAGTGATAACGCCTACCCCATTGGGGTTAGCTAGAATCATCGATGTATACATGAATGGATGGTTAAAGGTAGAATGTCCTTTTTTCTGCATAATTAAAAAACCCCATATATTCAATTTTCCTTGTGTAATTTAGATCTATCCGTTTGTTAACTTTTTCTGTCGTTTGGTACAGAATCTTCGCTATGAACTGATATTATTTTAAAACAATTACACAATTCAGTTTCCACAGTTTTTTATGTAGGTTTATTTGGCATGTAACAGCTTTAGATAACAAACAAGAGAATACTCAACTAATAGTTTAAAAATCAA